TCCTCCTCCTCCTCACCCAAACCCGTCTCTGTTCTCCTAACCTCTTTGGTGAGTCTCTTTGAAACAGGGTTCCTACACAATCCTCCATTGCGAGACTTTTTTTTTTGTTTTTTTTTGGATGGCTATTCAACAAGGTGTGCGATTGGTAGCGATGTTGCTCTACAGCTGATGATTAATCCTCACAGCAACAAACGTCACAACACAGGAAATGACAGTAGGGCTACAACTATATACGATGGGTTTCCGGAACAGGAACCTCTTTTTGTTTTTTCCCACTCCCTAAGCTTTCCCAGGATTTTTGTGCAATTCCAAAACATTTTTAAAAATTTACATTATTTTCAAACTCAAAAGGCCTCCCAGCCCTGTGTAGGAACCCTGATTGGAGGTGGCGTTAAGCTAAAACAACGGGGACCTGTAAGCGCTCGTTCCACCAGAACAAAAGATCAACAAGGCTGTTAGGACCAAGTAAGTGTTGGTTCAAGGAATGGGCTCGTTCACTAACCTCCCCTCCTCTCCCCTTCTTCTTCCCATCTCTCTCTGTCTAGGTGGAGGAAGCTCCATGGCTGGGCATGTTGGCCATGCCGCCAACCATGCCAGCCGTGCCAGCCATACCTGAGGGCCCTCCCATAGCTGGAGGACTGTGCTTGGTAGGTGAGGTCATGTCGGCTCCACGCCCTTGGCCTTGGCCCGGGGTCTGGGGGGCGTGGTGGGCGTGCTGCAGGGCGTGGCGCTCCAGCAAGGTGCGGTGGGTGAAAGCCCGGTGGCACACGTTGCACTGGAAGGTGCGCTCGGCACGGTGGGTGCGCATGTGCACATTGAGGGAGCTTTTCTGGGTGAACCGCTTGCCGCACATGGTGCACTGGAAGGCCCTGACACCAGTGTGCACCACCATGTGTTTGAGGAGGTAGTCCCGCAGGGAGAAGGAGCGCCAGCAGATGGAGCACTGATGAGGTTTCTGACCTGGAGGGGCAGGTGGGTAACAGTTAGTTTTTCTATTTTGTTTTTATATGTCATACAGAGACATTAACGCTTTTTCCGGTATGTCTTAGCAGAGAAGAAATGCCTCCTTTAAAACAGAATTTATACAACTTTAGAATCTTTTTTTAATGTTAAACTAATTTAATCAAATGGATGAATACAATTCAAAAAGTTATTTCATCACAGATTTTGTTGATTGTGGAGGTTAGTCGCTTCACAGAGGATCCCCATATGACCAGTAATGAAAGACGCCTAATAGTTCCATCCATCATCTCTACACCTTAATCCTCACTAGGGTCATGGGGGGCTGGAGTCTATCCCAGCTGACTCAGGGTGAAGGCAGGTTCACCTGGACAGGTAACCAGTCTATCACAGGGCTACACTTAGAGACAGACAACCAAGCACACTCACATTCACACCTACAGACAATTTACAATCACCAATTAACCTCAACATGTTTCTGGACTGTGGGAGGAAGCCGGAGAACCCGGAGAGAACCCACGCTGCACGGGGAGAACATGGAGACTCCACACAGAAAGATCCCGGGTGTCCTCACCGTAACGCGAACCGGCGACCTTCTAGCTGTGATGCTAACCACTGAGCCACGTTGCAGCCCCAATAGTTGGCATATCAAACTAAATACCATCTTAAAATATGTGTTTCTAGCAAGTAAGGGGCTCAAGGATCCACGATGCTGACAAATGACGAGAGAACTCAGTGATTAATGGTGTGAAGTTGAACAGCAGTAGGTGTGTTTGAAGCATCTCATTCACTTACAGCAGGCGACACTAGTGAGTACACCCCCGTGCACCATCACCTACATGTCAAATGATTCTGAACTGCATAACCTCTCAATAACTGCATTATTACCAACTTGATAAGTCGACCATTTCCTCTTAAGAACATCAAAAATTCAAAAAGATTATATTAAAACTGCAAGTAGAAACTAAAGTGAACACACCTGTGACCACTGACACACAAGTTTAAAAAGTGGTGATCATTAAAACTCACTGATTTTCAACTTCATGAACATGGTAAATAAAATCATCTGTGACTGACAGAACTTTCCCAATCTGGACAAATGGACTGTGTCTATCTGCAGATCTGCATCGTGGCTCCATGTGGAGAAAGAACTGCCAGAGGACCAGAAAAATCTGCTTGTGAGTCTTCACGAAGACGGAAAAGGGTGCAGAGAGATCTGTGATCAACTAAAATCTGTCAAAAAACTGTTGCAGCAGTGATTAGGAAGTACAGGACGAGCCACAGCACCACTAATCGGAGCTAAAGTGGACAAAGATGTGAATAAAAGATGAACGGTGCAGCTTTCAGTAACGACAGCGGCCGACATCTGTTGCATTGAGTTTCTATTTTAGGGCCTGTGTTGTTAATGCAGTAAATCTAAACAGGTTTTAATTCTGCACGCGAGCAAAGACCCTACTGGTCCAGTCAGAAGTGATACGGCTACACAATTTTGAATCATTTCAGTGATAGTGTAGCTCACACTCGCAAATGAAGCCGCGATCGAAACATTGATTGTGAGGGGAAGTGGCCGCGGTGCAGTCAGAGGTCAAACTCATCCAGGCCATGAAAACGTCCTGCAGGCGTTGTGGATGCAGCACAGGATGTCCAAGTTTAACTCTGTAGTGTTTCTCTGCACTCATATAAGCACTTGACAATGTGTTTCTCATTCACACATCAATGGCGGGTTCTTGCCCAAGGACACTTCGGCTGTGGATCGAACCGCCAACCACGCGACTGGAGGACAACCCGCTCGACCACCTGAGCCACAGCCGCCTCGCAGATAAACAGTCGGAAGAGTGAATGATGAATGGAGGGATGTTTTGCTGCCATTTCATGTTTATATATAATAGCAAAGAATAAAGAGGAATTCACTTCACTTCACTTCACTTTGCCACTCAAAGGCTTCCGGCAGCAGCTTCTAAGGTGGAATGTTTTCTTGTGTTGTGAATCTTATTGGGTTTTTTTTTCTTGTCTCTCTTGAATAACATCTGTTTGAATGATGACTGGATCGTCAAGCTCTTGAAAAAAACAACAAGATTTTCATGGGAATTTCAGCGTCATCATGCCAATTACAAATAATATATTTCTTGACTTGGAGGGAAAAAAACGCTGGTTGAGTCACGACGGTGCGCTCTGGCAGCACAACGCCTCGGACACAAGTGGTTTGAAGGTGATGAGCTCGCCGACACAGAGGTCGCCGTGTTGTTTACATATGGACTCAGAATCTCTTTACTGTCCTTGTACAAGAGAGCACAACGAAATTTGAGTTAGCAGCTCTCGTAGGCAGCGCAAAACATCAGCACATAAGGTGAGCATCGAAAATTTATTTTTAAATAGAACGTAGAATAAAAAATCTGAATATATTGGGCGCCTGGACAGCTCAGCGTGTAGAGCAGGCGACCCATGTACAGGGGCTACAGTCCCCGACGCAGCGGCCCGGGTTCGATTCCACTCAGCGGCTCATTTGCTGCATAATAAAGCCGGGATATTGCGTTCAAGAAATGATTGCACTGGGAGTATTAGTGTGGTGCATGAACAGAGACTTTTCTGTTTTACACTGAAGAATGATTATTGGGAATTTGTGGCGTTCAGGGCGACGACAGCTCTTGGGTCAAAACTGTTCTTTAGTCCGTTTGTTCTCGTCTTTATCGCCCTCATAGAGCTAGACTCAGCTGTTCCCTTAAACAGTGACAGAAATGGTTGTGTGACGTAGAAGGAGAGCTCCTAGAGAGAGAGGTTTTCTCACCAACTGGCCAGTAGTCGCCGCGTGGCGTGAACTCACCAGAGTGGATGAACATGTGCTTGCTGTAGTTCTTCCTGGAACGTAAAGATTTGCCACAGTGCATGCAGTCGAACGAGGTCTCGGATCCCTGGGATGAAGGGGATGGCCCAGCGGAGCAGGAGGAGGTGGATGGCGGCGGGGCCGGGGTCATCGGTGCCGGGGGCGGAGCCTGTTGACTGGGCTCCGTCCCCGCCATGGTGTCAATCCCGCCCATGGGCCCGCCCACATAGAACGGAGCTGGCTGCGACTGGCTCACTGGGTACTGAAACAGAAGCTGGAGAGGAACACGACACAGACCGTTAGTTCTGACATCAGACATCCTGACAACATGAAAATCAGAACTAATGACCAACATACATGTCTAAGTAGAGGTGCGCTTTGGTTTATATGCATACAGTATATCTGTTTATGTGTATATGCACATTTTGTTTTGCGTATTGTCTCTTTGGAACATTTTTAATTGAATAAATGATCAAATAATACTGTTTAGCAACGCCTTTGCACATTTATCACAAACCCACTGATGCCAGTTGACATTCTGGGAAGTTTAGGTATGCACGCTGCCTGCCAATATGATTCAGTGAATGTTTTATAAGGTGGTTTTTATTCGCTGTATTGTCATGCATTGACTTACAGAATTACCAGTTTTGTTTTGTTTTTTATCTCAACATAGCATCTGTAAAAAGTACCATAGAAATAATTTTATGTATTGCCGTACTCGTCTTAATTGTGTGCCATTTAAATTACAAAACACATTTTCAAATGGCGATTATAATTGCCATTAAATTATCAAAGAAAATTCTAATTCAATGCGCCTCTTCATCGTTTCATTATTACCGTACGATGGAGGGGGGGGATTCAAACTCGGTGGCATTTACCTTTCCACGCTCGTGTGTCTTCCACTCTATAAAAATTCAAATGCAAATGCCTCTTTTGCATTTTCACTTTCAAAGTCAACACACCTGTCAATCAGTGTGTGTAGGCAGGGGCTTGAAGGAAAAAAATAAATAAAGCAGGCGTCTATCTCAGTAAAACGGAGTCCTTCGTTTGTGTTTCTGTCGTGTCTCCGTTTTGTTGCGCTGACATTAGAGCCTGTGTTTATTATTTTGTTGTGTTAAATTTTCGTCAGCGGTCATAAGAACTGGACGCTAAAGAGATTTATAGACTCATCACTGCAACATGATTAACTGCAGCGAGCGCTTCACGTGCACGACACTTCCTTCCTTTCACATCCTCGAAATGAAATTAAATACAACATGTTCAGCAGCGATAATTATTGTCACTGTCAATTAAGCCATTGATTACTTTCCCAATAAAGTGTCTCACTGGCTACAAAATGCCAGAAAATAGTGAAAACATCCTCCCAGTTTCTCCTTTGTTGTCCAACCAATAGTCAGAGATAACCAATTCATGATGAGACAAAACAAAGAAAAGCATCAAAACTGGCACGTTTGTGTTTGATGTATTTAAGTGATGAATCCACTTTTGATAATTAGGGGCACGTTTTAACACATGCCTGCAGTGCTGGAATCCACAAAAACACCTATTAAGTAGTTAAAGCCATCCTCCTGGTGTTGACTAAAATAACTCCAGCATGCTCAGGTGTAACTCTACACCTTTCTACACGTTCTCTCGTGTGCACCAATCTATTCATATGGCTCCCGCTGGTCGTAGATAACGTGGGCCCTTTGGCTTGATTACACTATCAAACGGCTAATAGTGTGCTGATAATGTTAGATAAAGATTCACAATTTGACCTTTGCATTGGAAAACACAACATATTTTTTTCTTCTCCACTTCCTTCTCGATGCACAAAGCTCCACCACGCAGGATCGGTTTCTCGGGTTTGCGTCGTGTGAAACTCTGGCCGTCTGAATCGTTGGATCTGCTCATCAGTTGACGGCGTTTTCAAGGTGCCCAGCCACAGCGCTGACCGCTTATTCTGCTCATGTGCATATACAACAAACCTCTGGAGCACGTTCAGCCTGACCCACCAGATGTACACTTCAGGTATCAGTAACGGACATGTGCTAATGCCAGGTTTCCATGAAGATTTGGATCATGTGATGGAGCCACTTTAACAACACCTGCCTCGCCCAGTGTTCCACCAAAACAAGCTCCCTGTCCAGCACTAATTTGCGGGGGCATCCTTGACTTCACCCCAGACGGTTGGGATTGGTTTTCAAGAAATACAAGCAATGCAGAGATTTTTTTTTTTCCTCTCTCTGAGGTGCAGCCAGACCATCCTCCAGCACCGACACGGGGTTGTGGAGGAAAGTGTGAGATTAGGCCACGTTAACAACGGGAACTTCATCAGTTGACGTCTTTAAAAGTTATTACAATCAAATGCACTTGTCCAGTAAAATCAAAGATCTATCGACAGGCATAAATTCATCTTAAACAGAGGTTTAAGACACAAAAACACTAAATCTGTCCTCCTTTGGCAGATAAAAATGAAAAAAACAGCCTTCAAGTATCAAACGTTGCACATGCAGGGATTCATTCTGCACAGTGAAACTCAAACATCAGAGCGAAGAAACAATCAGCAAAACACACCTGAAAGTTAAGAGCATCAAACTCCACAGGGAACAGACATGTCCCTCTGAGTGTTTCACTTATTTGCTGACTAATATGCAAAAATAAAATTCACATAATTCATAATTCAGGCTCCGTCCAGCAACATACCTGCTGACTGTACCTCTGCCATCTCTTACATATCTTGTCACCACTTTTACAACTTTTGTAACTGCAGTACTGACTACATGTAATCAGAGTGCACGACACCGACCTGGTTGTTGATGGACTGCGTGGTCGGAGGTGGAGTCAGCGGCTTGTTGACCCTTCCTCTGGGGTTGAAAGCCATGGCTTGAGGAGGCTCGCTCTGGGGCCAGAAACTCTCGGAAAACACGCCCTGCTCATCGTAGAAATCCTGAAAAAAATCACACACAAAACCGCACAAAGATAAACTAATCTGACAGTTTTGGCTTCAAGTCAAGAGAAGAAAAAAAAACACACATCTCAAGCACTCAGGAAAAAAAAAAACCCTTTGAGAAACACTTGCTTTGTTCGGTGTCAGGTTCTCTTAATGACATAGATACCGGATAATGAGCCCTACTCAGGTGTTGAAAAGCGAACCCTTACCTGCTCCATAGGTGTAGCTCCTGTCTGTCTCTGTGCTATAACATTGTGACTACACAGAAGGCGTTGCACAAACCACAGGAGAGCATAAATGCACTTCCTCCTGCATTCAAGCCTCCAGTGAAGACAGCTGGATTCATTAAAATACCGGCGTATCTCTTCTGTCAGACATGTGACTGCAACATGCGACTGAAACGTAGAAACAGCAATGCTCCTGAGGTCAAACATAAAGTATGTGTTCCCGTAAACCGGCGTGCATATGTAAGGAAACTAATTAGTATGTTTGTTTTGTTTTGCACTCCACTTGCGCCTTCTGTCACGCACCGAAATGTACAGAAAGCATCCCTCAATATCTGCATTTCCAACCTTTTTTTTCCCATTTATCTCTATCTTACACATGCAGACGATCGACTTGCACAATGCAGTCCGACCGGCCCGACTACACGGCTGTAAAATTTAAATCCATTTATCATTTGCTCTTTTTATGTTCGACTGAGAATCTGAAATCGTAAAAATGAAAGAAAGATTTGTTACTTATTTATGAAAAAATCTGCCTGATGTACAACCAGAACATTACTGACTTTCTGTGCCATTGGATGTCCTGACGCTGTCTCTGGATTACTTAGACTTTGTTTATTGTCATCGCACAAAAACAGAACAAACTTTAAAAACTGGAGGATGATGCCAACTTCAGTTCCTTATCCATCCATCCATCATCTATACACCGCTTAATCCTCAGAGACAGACAACCAAGCACACTCACATTCACACCTATGGACAATTTACAATCACCAATTAACCTCAACATGTTTCTGGACTGTGGGAGGAAGCCGGAGAACCCGGAGAGAACCCACGCTGCACGGGGAGAACATGGAGACTCCACGCAGAAAGATCCTCACCGGGACGCAAACCGGCGACCTTCTAGCTGCGAGGCAACGATGCTAACCATTCCTTATCCCTGTCATGAAGTTGTTTTCTGCTAATTATAAAAGATAATGAAGGTGGCTGTGGCTCAGGTGGTGGAGCGGATTGGCCTCTAATCGCATGGTTGGCGGTTCCATCCCAATGGCAGGCAGCACCTTGCACGGCAGCTCTGTGGCCACTGGTGTATGAATGTGATCTACTCTCAGATGTACGTCACTTTGGATAGAAGCTTAAGCCTAATTAAATTGTAATAATGGACAGTGGACTATTCTTTAGATTTTGCCTCTAAATTCTTCCGTATATAAGATTTCTGCAGTATCTAAGTCAGTTTGTGTCAGTTGTCAATACATCCTCTGGTACACAGCAAAAAAAAAGACAGTTATTAGCAATCTGTACAGCTCCTGTTTGTATCTAAATATACTCTGATGCACTCTGTACACGAGCAAGCTTTGCAAAAAATGACAAAACGCCATACATTTCTCTGTGGTTTCTGTGCTTACGTCCAACAGAATTAAAACCCACGACGATGCAATTCAATGATAAACCAACTGCAGACGCCCTCCAGCCTGTTGCACGGACAAACATCTGAGCTGATGAGAGCATCAACACAGTCGTGAACATGTGCACGGGTGTGTGGTGGACACACAACAGCCCAGACAGGTGGAGCAAACGTCCTCAAGGGGTGCTATGATACGCACATCGAGGGTCAGACAGAACTACTTCCAGACTAACATCCTGAAACAAGGCTGGCACTACTGCTCGTCCAGTCAATTTTAACGATTGTAGAGTTTCCTCAAAAACCTCCTGAAGCGACTCTGCTGTACAGACTCTTCTTATTTTTCCTTCCAGAGAACAGCGGGGACATTTTCTGACGGCGGCGCATGAAGAAGAAGATTTTAGGATCGTTCGGAGTTGATTGTTCTGTTAAAAATGTAGTCGGAGGCATCATTTGCACCTGGCTGTTCGTCTGCAGGTGGTGTCTGGCCAATTCACGTATAACACAATCTCAGCACATCCTGCATGCATTTACATCTTTAGTTACTGTGGAGTTTTTCCCACATCCTGATGAGATGTTTTAGTGCGTCTAAAAAAACAAGGGCACTTAAAGAGAAAAACTACCTTAGCAAAAAAAAAAACAGGTATTTTAGCCCAAACACGGTGTAATAGCTTTTAGCCATGATGCAGCCTGCTGAATCCCTCGGAAGTTAGATATACACCAATTGTAAACGTTTTAAAACTAAGCAAGAGACTATTTCTTCTTCCACTGCTTTAAATGACGGTGCCACTTTATATTTTGGTTCGTGCATTCACTAAAGTCATCTGCATTTTTATGTATTTTATGCTTTATCTTTACATCCTGCAGTCGTTCTGGTGTTTTTGCTTCATTTTTGAAGGTTTTGACGCCATTTTTCCTTTCTTTTTAAACATCATAATGCACTTTGTTAAGCACTCTGAATTGCTTTCGCGTACGAAAGGGGTTACACAAATAAAACTGATCGCCTTGCCTACAGAGCAAAATCTCTACGAGGTGACAAATCACGATTGTCGCGCGGTATATTTCATTTTAATGCCTAATTTTAGAGCCACGTTTAACATCTGCCAGGTTTAAAATGAGTTTCAGAATTAAAGCAATAATGCTGGTAATGTAATGGCTTGTTCATTAAAACAACAGCGCAAGTTTGAATTCACGCTTTGTTTTTGTCACCGGGTTTTGACGGTTTTATTGGCCTGCTGAGTTTGCATCACTGCCAAGAGCCACATTTCAGATACAAATCTATCGAACATAACTTGGGGAGAACAGAGATGAATCAGAAGAAAAGTCTGCTCTGATATATGAAAATAGGAAACTGCTTCCATGTCGTGTATCAAAGGGCAGAGAAAATCTGCTCAACGACAGAAGGTTAGATTATTCAAGCAGTGCTGAGTTTATTGATGATCACCTGCTGCGCTACGCCGGGAAAAAAAAGATCAAGTGTTCATCTCCTAAACTGATGAGATTATTTCATTTCCGATCACAAGTTTATCTGCAGCACTTTTGAGAAGAGTGACAGGCAAAGCTGAATCCTTTTGACCGTGTGGCAGATGTTCCTTGTGTAGTCTGCAGGGTACAGCAGGCTGCGGCATAAATCCGCTCCACCATGTTTTCCCGTCTACTTACTCAGGACTTGTGGCAGAAATGCTGAGTATAAATTTAACACAACAAGGTCCTTCTGGAGTAGAAAAAGATTTTCTTTGACTAAAATATTTCTTTACACTCAAGGACCAAAACTTAGAATCTGCACGATGCGTTACGCTCCGATTGTCATCCTTTTTGCATAAATGATTACAAATGTTCAATAGAAGTGAGCTTTAACTTTCAAATACGGCTTCGCATTTTAGAAACTGCAGTTCACCTCTGATGTAACGTACCTGTCCGAAGCTTGGCATGGATTCCTGGGAGCCCTCCTGCTGCTGATCTCGTCTCCCATCCTCCAAGGCGTAGACGGTCCCATCTGTGTCCTGCACCCCTTCATCTTTCACCACCACTCCCTCTCCTCCCAGCACCTAGAGAGAAAAAGGTCCGTTTCAGTTTGAAGTAGTGAAAAAAAAAAAACAACAACAACATTTACAGCAGCGGTTGGAGCTATAAGGCAGCAGAAAGTCTATAAGAACAACACTGCATTGACCCGGCTACAGCCCTTTGAAGCAGGTTCTAATAAGTTGAATGACCTACAGTCAATATGCAGAAGTCCATAGAATACCAACAAGGCAATTACTGCTGAAGTTGAGACGAGAGACTCAATTGTGCAAAGTGCTAAACATCTCAGCGATATACGCCAATGCAGTGTGAGAAGAGGGAAAAGCATAAAAAGAAAGAGAAGGAAAACGTTGCAGCTCTGCATGCCTGAAAGCTGTAACCATAGCAACCCTTCCCCTTATCCCCCTACCTGGAGTCTTAGCGGCTGCCTCTGCTTGCGGCTGTGGCTCACCCCCCTGTCTCTGTCTCCATCTCTTCCCCGCTCTCTCCCGTCCAAGTCCTCCTCCTCACTGTATCTGTCTATCCCCACAAGGTCATCAGAGAGGTCAGCTGTGTTGCCGCGGAGGCTGTCCCTGCCGATGCTGTCCACACTGCCCACACCAGAGCTGCAGCCCGCTGAGAGGTTCCCTGTGCTACTAGTGCTGGCTCCGTTGGCCGTCTGTGCCAACAGGTCTCGGAGCTTGTACCTTACGTCCTGAGTACAGCTGGAGCTCTGCTTCATGAGGATTGTGCCGGCCCCAGCGCCCATCCCGTCGCCGCTGCACATGGAGCCGGGGCCCATGTCGCCCAACGCCATCAGACTTACAGTGTTAGCTTGATCCATCGGGCCCGGGCCGCTCTCGCTGACACTAACACTGGCACCCCCCAACCCCCCGCCCATGTTACTAGCCCCGCACTCGGCCATGAAGTTGGAGAAGTTTGCGTAACCCCCACCCGCACTCGCACCACTGACAGAGCAGCTTCCACTGCTGCTGCTATCTCTCCCTTTCCCCCCGCCGCGTTCTTCTTGTTTAGGCAGAACTCCTCCAAGCATCCCTCCTCCTGCTGCTGCCGCTGCGGCTGCTGCTGCAGCTGCACTTGCTGCCCCTGCCGCCGCCTTCCTCTGAGAGATGATCTGGGTACACTCGTCAATGACCGTCTTAATCTGCAGGATGCTGGCGGCAGTGAGGATGCAGAGGGCCTGCGATTGCAGCACCACCAGCGAGCCGCTGTACATGAAATCCACAAGCTGCTTCACCGTTTCAGCGGGCACCAGCGGGGGCACGGAGATTTCAGAGTGACCCAGCAGCAGCTTGTCCTGGAAGAAGGGGCTGCCAGCTGCCAGGACGCAGGCGTGGGCACGCAGCGAGGCGTCGTGTATCCGCACGGTCACATCGCAGAAGAGGCCTTCGCGTCGCTGAGTGCGCAGGGCTTCCAGTACGGACTGGCTGGAATTGTGGAGATGGATGTAGTGCACGGTCTCTGTGCCGGACACCATGGCGGGAGGAGGTGAGTCACTGGGGACGGGGTGGGAGTGGGGGTGGGGGAGGGGGGGCAGGTGTCTGGGGTTTTGCGTCAGCTTGAGGGATAAGGAGGGCAGGAAGGGAAACGGATACAGTGCATGGGCCACGGTGGGGCCGCGTCCCCTCAAACAGTCATGGGTCTGATGGAAGCTTCAAACTGCTGCTGTGCTGTGGGTGGTCAAGTGTGTGAGGAGCTGCCTTTGTTGTCCTGAGAGGGGGCAATGTCAAGAGGTTGTTTCCGCCAGATCCTGCCTCTGTTAAAGACCTGTTTGAATAAATCATAATGACACAATTAAAACACACAACAGGCTCACGGAAAGTTTCCATTAGTGCTGAAACAATCGACGGGTTGATCAGTCAAAAGAAAATCAACAATTCTGATGGATGACTAATCATTTGAGTCAAACGCCCAACATCTACTGCCTCCAGTGTGTCAGGCTGTGTGGCTTGTCGTTGTTCTGGATGATGTTAAACGGAGCATCTGTTGGTGAGACTAAACAAGACATCTGAAATGTCACCTTGGGAGCTGGGAAACTGTGATGGCCATTTGTCACGATTTTGTTTTGTGCACGGAATGGACTGAAATAATCAAATAAAAACAGGGAAATGTTACACGATAATCCCACTAATCCTTTGTTGAAGCCCCGATTTGCATTTTTCTCCACTGGTTTGTTTCATTTTTTCGGTCCAGTTCATGTGTGTGTACCTGAAGGTGACACCGCCACACAGACACCCAATCACCTAATTAGTCGCGTGCATCATCTGGAACACCTGTCTTGGACAAATGACAGCACGTGCGGTGCGCGAGTCCATCGGCTCCTCGGGTCAGTTTTATTTGGCTATTCTGCACAGTGGGTGGCCGGCAACGCAACACCAAAGACAATCGGGCTGTTAGTTGTGCTAAAGAGGCGCACGACGGAGCGAGCTGGCAGAGCCCGACAACAATTAAACCCTCTCGTTAACGAAATATGTCGCTGCTAGTTTCACGAAGCGTGCTACTGACCAGCAGACGTTAGCTCCAGCAACAAGCGAAACAGGTTAACGGTGACGAGCTAACGTTAGCTAGCGTTAGCTGTTGACATTAGCCGCGCGAGTCCCGCTCGGAATTCTGCACTAAACGCACAGATTTCTGCGTGCAAACTGGGGATTGACATCGAGTAAAACGCAAACGTTAAGTGTTCAACACTGAACGGCAACTGGCAACGTGCCTAGCATAACATAAAAGCAGCTATCGGAGCTCGCCCCCTCGCTGTAACACACTGCTAACCTAGCTAGATCACTAGCTGGCGTTAGCTAGCGCGAATTGCCCAACGACAACTAGTAAAGTTAGCATGTCGGCAGCTAACGGGCTACCACCCTTTTCTGCTCACAGTCTCGGTTAACGCCATATACTCAAGTAGTTTGCAGTCGCCGTGTCGCTGCGTGTCGTTTAAATCGCGACTACTCACCGATGAAATGTGCGGTGACAGTCCGGCGCTTCTTAGTTTCAGTCAGATGGATGCAGCAGGAAGCCCTCATATAACGCACCCAACCTGGTGAGCGCTGGAAACAAACACACATGCACGGAGACACACGCTCGCAGACTCACACACATGCATGCATGCAGAGAGGGGCACATAAAGCGATGTGGAGTTTCTCCTGCCTGCACACAACGCCAGCTGTTAACGTGCCTCTCTCGCATTAATACATGTTCCGACAATAGGACAAAAAATACATTCTCACGATGCGCAGCGCACCGAACCGCAGACATGAAATCATATAAGTGCACGCGAACACACCTGTACACACCCACACAGCCTCGAGGCAGCGCACAGTCACAATACAATATAGATGGACTATTGTTTAAATTCTCCTCCACGCGTTTCAATCAATTCTTTATATTTGTGGCCCATGAAATCAGCATTAAAGAGCATTGAATTAATGTTCCAACAGCAAAGACAAAGACACAACCCATTATAATAAAAAAAAAAACCCTGTCTACATATTTATAGGCTTTTGCTGATGGGTGTGAATGAAAGCTTCACAACTGGGTGTTTGAAGGCTAAAAGAGCGTTTGTACAGCAAGTTGTCCTCTTTGTGTTGTAACCTTGGTGGTTTGTGTGGCTCACAAAGGCATCAGGCCTGATAGCCTCAGCACAGCAACACGTGTGGCTCAGTTTGAAGTGTCACAGACAAACACTTGAGGCGAGTATAATGCAGACATGCAGGAAATCTGACAATGTAAATCTGCAAGAATCAGTCAGTGACAGGCCCCGTGTTGAGCTCAGTTCAGATACGAGTAGTAAATGCCGTAAAGTAGAACTTAAATGATAAGTTTCATGGTTTAAGCAGAAACCGATATCTGTTCTGCCAGAGTTTGTCAGCCCTCTGTGCCATTAGGTTGAATATGAAGGACTCTGAGGATTCTGGGCTCTGGGAAATTAATATTTTCTGACACTGTGTCGCCAAGTTGTTTATTTGATTAACATAGAAATAATGAGCAAATCAGCACATAATGGAAATAAGCCGTAGCCCTAACCTGTAGACTGACACACTGAACATTGTCAGTGTAGGAAACAGGTTTGTCAGAATCCTTCAAGATGCTGAACAGACCGGGGATGAATCAGACTGCAGAATAAAAGTAATTTAGGGCATTTTGTCTAATGTTAGCAAAATTTGGCATTTATTTAGACTATTCAAAATGAGATAATTTATATAAATGAACTGTAAAATTATTATTATAACATTTTATTGTCTTAACACATCACCTGCAGCTGATACAGTATAAAAATTGGAATAAAAAATGAAGTCTTTGCAGAATTATACTGCATTTTTTGGGGGGGAAATAAAGGCAACCCTTGAAAAAATGTATGTTGTCATTGAGCAAATTTTTATTCTTACTGCTTTACACCAGTGATATTAACTCACACTCACAATTTATCTGCTAATAGAAACCATATGTTGATCAAAATGAACTCGTGTTCTTTAGATATACCCGGCTTTAGGAATTCCACGATATTTATATTGTGATTTTTATAAATATTTCTGTCTTGGCTACTCCCCTACCTCAACACAAATCCAGCTGCCTGCATAGGTAACCCTCATAATGCTGAGGACGAAGCTGATTCCTCTCTTCCTTTGTACCAGGTGCTTCGCTTCACATGTCCTGCAGCTAGCACACGTCAGCTCACCGTCAAGCTCTCGGCCCGGTATCACGAGGTTACACATACCTCTGCTTACGGCTGCTCATAGTTTAAGAACGAGACACAGGTTTAAGCCACAACAAAATATAATTTAATGAATTCACTTTTTACTGTGTCGATCACAAATCTATACTGATGTAAAAAACAAAAAAATCCAAAGAGGAAATCAAATGATCCAGCACTATCCTGTCTTAATGTAAGGCATGCAGTCTCCACAGAGCTTTGGACATTAAAAGCTACAGGTCATTACAGTAAAGACACACTGACACTCAGCCACAGGTACACACAAAAGCGCTCCGAGTGTCCACTTTTCTTGGGGCCCAATAAACATTTATTCTTTGCACATACAATGAGTAGAAGTGGAATTCATCACAACACCAAAAGTATAGTAGTTCACAAATAGCAACAGGATACGCTAACACTTCCCGCCGGGGCTTTTTTTCTACCTTGTCCGCTCTCGAGGAATAAATGGCGTGGCGCTGCAGGAATATTTGAATATGTGAGGTACATTGACAGTTACATGAGAAAGAGGGGGGTTAGTAGCCTAGCATGTCGTGTGAGCATGTGGATGGTTTTAACAGCCGTGACTCTTGCATTCAACTCCATGCAGCAAGCCCTTTTGGAACTGGTTTTCAGAACCAGTGGAGCCTGTAAAAATGGGCTTCATCTTTCAGCGAGGAGGACATCCTTCGTTTGGAAATTACATTGAAATGCTGCTCATACAAAAGGTGCAGACATTTACTTGTGTCTATGGTGAAAAATCCTAATAACATCTGGGATTCAAAGTGGCCTTAGCTATATAAATACAATTATATATTTGCCTCCATATAAAAATAAAATTAGCAATACACAAATATTGCACACCTACGGAGTTTAGATTTGTCAGATTATTGACAAGCTATTGAGGAAAATGTACAAACATGAAAATAATAAACCCTCTGGTGCAGTATAAATAAATATTTTGATATTCAGTTAGTTTTAATCCTTTACGCGTGCAGCATGTCTCTGTGGCTGTCGATGGACCAGGTGGGCAGAGGTGGAGTCACGGCTGCCAAGGGGAGATGGACTTGGGCTGTGCGGTGGGTGAAGGTCACGGTGGAGCAGCAGGTAGTTCAAACGGGACAGAACTCCTCAGTGTTGCTGGGCATCCAGCTCCCTCTGGCGGCAGCCCACAGCAGTGATGAGGGCAGCCCCCTTACCGCTGCCGTCCTCGGACAGCAGGAAGTTGACGTCGCATTTGGGGGCGAGTTCCTTAACTGTCTGTAGGAAGATCCGAGAGAAGCTAAGGGAAGAGAGCCACAGGAAACAACAGTTAGGAGGCAGTCCCTGCTGAAGTCGAAGAAGTGAAAGATGCTTTCCAGTATAAGCAATGGATGTAGATTTCAATCAAGCATTACAACGAGGATAAGCAGCAGGGGTAAAGCAAGTCAAGTCCATAAGGCCCATCTCAGGAAGACTGAGGATGGACTCCAGTTAAAAGAGCTCCTCAGGATTTTACTTAGTGTTTTAGTTGACTTAGTAAACCCAATGAAACATTCCTCAGTAGCCCCTTGATTTAAATGTAATGGATTTTTTTAGCCTTTAGATGCTTTTGGGTAAAGGACACGACCAAATACAAAGCTGAAGTTTCTTTTCCGTATAAAGTGAGACATTCCTTACAAGTTAACAAATGGAATCACAGGTATTGACATGCTGGGTTGTTAAAAATAATGTAGGAAGGTAGGAAATGTGAGTCTATTGGGGTTAAACAGATGAAGTATGAAACTGTTAGGTTGGG